AGAAAGCAAATTTATATCTACATATATAGTACATCTTATGTATAGTCGTAGAAAGAGAAGTCTTGAGAATATCAAAGATAAACTATGTCTATACGTCTGACATCATGGATTGATTAGAATTTTATACAGTCATAATTGGCTAATACGCAACGGATAAAAATCAGGTTATCAGTGAAAACATGACTTTACTGCGGATATATCAAAAACGCAATCTAAATTGGGATACTTGCCGATCTACCAAAAACGCAACCGCCGAACGAAACTTTTGCAACACAAACATGGGCAAATCCACACCTGATTAGCCTGTACATGTGGCTAGTCAAAAATAATAAGCGTGTTTGAGATTTTTGAATTACTCCAAGTGTGAACCAATACTGACAGCATATTGTGCAGCGCTGCAGAATACAGATAGTCCAAAATGAATTGTTTGGTAGAGAACTAAATATAAGTTTTTATACATGACACAAGACGCAATTATGTTTTGCAACAAACGTATCCATAAAAAAAAGTAACACATAGTTGTTTCAATAAAGTGTCTAAATAAGATCCGTATTATTTATTACGAACAATTAAAAATAAATTCTTGACTGACTTCATAGAGTCGTCATTAGAGTAGTCATTATTACATAAACGGTTACACATTTAAAATAATATTCGCTGACCTATTGCTAAAAAAGGTATAAAAGTACAACATTTAACCGTAAGAAAAAGTTTATCAAGCTTCTATGGCATGACTGTGATCTGTGCATCGCCAATTGTGCTTGTACCACATTTGACAATGATGTGCTTGTTCTTGAAAGTTTGAAGATTTGTTCCTGGAAGAGTAAACTGAAAGGCTGCTGTTCCACCATTTTGAACGGGAGTGTTGGCGACGTAGGGCGTCAAGTCGACTGAACTAGTACTCGACAATATAACTAACAGGCTGCAGGTGGTGAAAGATCTGCCGCCAGTAAATCCACTATTGAATTGTCCGTAAATGATAATGTCTGTGCCGGACTGGTAAAATGTGGTGGATCCAGTTACAGGATGAGAGCTAGATTTCTTAAATTGGGCATATCCAACATCGCCAGGATCGCGTTTAATTGTGGCGGCGAGCGAAGGCGACAGCGCGACAAGGAGGCAGCAGACAAGCAAGAAAATTGTGCGAATGGCGTTTTGCTTCATGGTTTCGTTTTGTTTAAAGTTTCGTGTTAGTCGTTGAAAACTTGATCAGGTTCGAGTCGACCGTATTAAATGTCTCCGATGGAAGATGACTCTTGCTGAATGGAAACTGTGGTCTTAATATACTGGCAAAAGGAGAAGTCCCGTGAAATGCCAGGAATTAATTTATTTGCCGGTTTTGGTAAAAACTAATTTACTATTTTTATCAATAAACTGTATTCAGCCCTTCGTGTTATTGTTTGTGAGGCAATAAGTAAGGGAATTTAACACAAGATTTTGCTGCACCCCTATGTAATTAAATTATTTATTTTTAGAGAATTTAATTCAAAGCTGTACAAACGTTTATGGTTCAATACCATTGAGACATAACGTACTCGAACAAGGAATTAATAATATGTCTGCAACAAGTATTAACTTTAAAGCTAACATTCACAATGCAGTTGCATCATACTTTCTATATCCCGTATCATTTCTGTACGTAGTGACAAACTCGCTATTAAAAATTTGCAACCCTTATGCGTGTTGCGGAATAGGCATTACATTGGCTGACATCAAGAAAGACAATACCACTATTGTTAGAAAAGTTAATTAGCAAAAACCATGACACATTCACCGCCCAACAACTAGCATTGTTTGTTAATGACTGCATGGTTCGTTGCAATTTGCCCAATAGAACTTTCTAAGGCTCGACAGGATAAACTTGCTATGTGTAACACAGTAAATAATATTGGATCTCTTATTGGTGGATAATTTCACTAATTGGGACAAGAGAAATTAATAACATCGCATGTAGTACACCTTGTCACACTGACGATAAATTTGGCATTTCTTCAAGCGGGGGGAAAGGAATTACTACATAGCACTGACCAAACAAAGAAGCAATGCCAGAATACAACAAATGGAGACAATTATGTGTGTAAAAGAAAAAAGTTGTGGAAACGCCCAAGCCCATGATACGAGAAAATCATACGATGTGCAGAAAGTTTCGATGGATATCTGCTTCCATACCATACTACACACGCTTGTACAAATTTTTAAAGTTTGAATTTAAGTAATTACGTATTTGATCAACTTTAACCATGCAACTCAATCTCCCAGCAAAGACATGAGAAATGTGCAAATTATATGATCATCACTCCATTCAAGAAACTTTGTCGGTAACTTAATTCTGTGAAACGAATGGGAGACTACCACACGCACTATAGATTTTCCGCTAAACCTATTTTGTTAGTGGTGTGATGCTAAACGTGGGAACGGGGCAAAGATCACTAACATTCATTAACTTGTGCATTTGGCAATGAAAATAAATCTGATAAAAGATATTCTTACAATTTTCAGTAAGAATAATACGGGAATGGTTAGTTTATTGAACAAGGTTATCATTATCCGTTACTTGAACGGCTACACCAATTCGATTGTTACTTTAACATGCTATTAATAGTGAATGTTTCTCCTACGGTGGTCATTCAACACCAAGTATGAACACAAATTTGAAATAACAACGCTTGCTACAATGACTACAAACAATAAATATTTATATTGCTTGCAAAAAACAGTGTAACTGTTTACTGTTTGTGTCTAATCAACTAAGAATATCGTAGGAAGGGTGTGATTTATGACATGCATTTTGTGCAAATTAGTACTTGTTGTAGCGATAAATTAAAATTTGATATTTTAAGAACATTTTGCTATATTAATATGGGAAACGTTGTGGTAAACGAGTGTTTTTAATTTATTAATAATAATGAATACTTGGCTAAACAAATTATTATTTACGACCGTCGCTATTAACAAGTTTTTGTATCATCCTAATGTACGTATATTGTTCTTACAATTTCGTAATGTATGCGTCAAATACTTTATGTCGTATGTCGGCTGAACGGCAATTATCGATCTAGAAACATATTATTGCATGTAACGCACAGATTATTGTGATTACATATTCGCCATAGTGTTGGAATCGATACTCGCTTGCTTTCATTTCCACAACCAAGTTATCCAAATACCAATCGACCCTTTTCTCTACTAGTTTTTTCAGATTCTGTTATCGAATGTGTGTTATTGTTTATGGAAAACAAGGAAAATTTAATAAAAATCTGCTAAAGACCTTCCTGTCACTACCTTTGAAGAACTTCTTACGAACAAATACAGTCGAAATAATAAATATTAAATTTTGCCCAAAAGTTTTCTTTCTTTAATAATCAAAACAAGTTAGTCTATTATTTAAGTCAGTAACTTAATATTAAGAGGTTAGTTCTATTACAAAAAATTTAATATCTGGTCTTGTTCAGAAATATCTAATTTTAAGTACCCAGATAATAATTTACTTAATCAGAATAGTAAATTTATATTTGCGGTAATAATGAAGTATGCTCAAACCTACTGCAGTATAGTTAAATTACTCGATTAAAACCTGTGAGAAACTTTAATAGAAGGTTACCTCAAATCTTGCAGGTGTTTGAAGACTTCAAGAGCTAGTAACATATCGATGCAGAAACCAATCAGCGCTCATTGACTAACAGATATAGTTCTTGAAATGCATATACCGTAGCTTTTGTTGTCAAAGTAAAAATTAACAAAAATTCATCATGTCTCAGGAAACATTATTTTTTTGATGCTCCGCTTACTGTCTCGGAACTCGTGTATGGACTGGAGCAGATTTCTTATAAAAACCATCGAAGGTAGACCGTTCTCCAGCGCAAGTTATCTGAACACATTTTTTCGTAGCAAATAGCAATTTTTTATTAAGCTCGTTTGTAGACGTTTTTTCTCAGAAAAACGATGTACGTACCTATATTCGTATGGTAATCGCACTGCACTTAATCGGAAAATCTCCTCAATATAAACCAGTGTGTGAATTTTATTCGTTGTGTTTAGCTATTGTTTTAATAACAGTTCTATTTTTGTACGAATGCTAGAAGAGCATAATATGAATAAAGCTAACAGAACAGCCAGACCTTTTGAGACTCTGTAAACGAGGAAAGCTTTCATATAGTTGTTTTTTACAACGTTTGCGTAATCAAGCCATCTTTTAATATTTTCTCAGGGTAACTCTATAATTTTGGAAACAGCGATAATGCGAGGAGTAAATAGCATATGTAGTCTATGTGCGTTGTCATTATCAATTTTCTAACGGTTTAGTTAATTTGGGTATAATACGGGTAAATATGACAGTTATGGACATGTACCGTCAACAACGCTACAACCTTCTCCTTCTTTTAACATATGTAGGCGGGAATTATTTCAATTAAGCTATAATAACTTTAATTTTTTAGTTCAAGGAACTTTCATTTGCAAGTAGTAAGTAATTAGTTTCTGAACTTGTTAACGTTTGAGCAAGTTTTTAAAATATTGAGAAACTCTTACTTAAACTATAGCTAAAAATAAAATAGCATACTAGTACACACTAGGACAACATGCCCATATTATACGATAAATTGATTTATATTAATAATCATATTTGTTCCACCCAATCAAATTTGCAAAATAGAGAAAAATAGATCGTTTAAATGTGTTTTGGTCACATCCACCATCATACCAAGTCTCTCCTTATTAACGTCGTCTTCTGGCGCTGCGGATAAATTCGATAAATTACTGGTAGCTACCATGTGAGAGGCTTGTACGGTGGTCGGTTTTCCAGCAATACTTTCCTTTACGCGATCAATTGACCAATCCGGATGATCCAAAAGAACACTTGCAATTTGTGCAGCTTCAACTTCGGTTTTGCTTCGACCAGTAATTTCCATGACTTCCTTTACAGTCTTTTTTTGCTCACTACAAACAGTATACGTTTATGTAAGTACAATACGGAAAAATAACTATAGTGCAATAATACTGATTCTGATAGGTACCTGAACAAATAATAAATATGAGCGGTAATTACAAAACCTTCGCTATGGTTTGCATACTTTGCGATTGTAGGATATGGTACCCTGTCATTAAACATTGTCACAATGCTATCGATTTTCTCTTTCAGAGTAACGAATTCGTTACGCAAGATTATCAATTGAGGCTGGATCTTTTCAAAGTCTTGTTTAAAATTTTCTCGGGTGTATTTAGCGTCACGCAAGTTTACACCGGTTTCGAAATAAGAGACGTAAACTAGTTTTTGAACGATATCGTTTACAAAAGCTACCAACTAATAAAGGCATGTAAGTATAATGATAAATGCAAAACGATAAAGTAGGGACGTAATAGAACGTAAATATTAAAATTCTTTAATACCTTATCGACTCCAGTATTAATTTCGTCATAATTTTTATTTAGGGCAGCCAAGGTATTGTTTGCCTGATCGATACGCTCCATAAGGGCATGGTATTCGGCTTCTGCGTCCAAAATACTACCAACTACATCTACTACTACCGTGGCTGCAGCTAATGCAACAAACGCCGGAGCAAGATATGGATTAGTTACTCCGGCCAACACGGCAATGGCTAGCACGGCTTGTAAACCTTGTAATACTTCTGCAGTAATTTGGATTCCCAAGTTGCTTTGTGGTTCTAGCTTGCGAATAGAACTCATAATCGCAATAACACGCAAAACGAGATGGCCTTCGGGCTTCTGAAGTGCATTGAGAATGTCGTTATATGCGTCCAGGATTTCTTTTTCATGATTTTCCATTACAAGGTAGACTTGATTGTAAAGTGCATCTCGTTCTGCAGACCTTGTCTGAATCTGTTGGATCAAATCTTGGAGTCGTGCTCGCCTTTCTGGATTTCCAGGCCTGAAGACGTCAGGGGGAATAATATGAGAAACAGCGCCACCCATTTGAATATCGGTTAATGAACAAGACGGAAAGATTACGATTTATATCAGTAAAAACGGTTTATACTTTAGAAATATATATTTAGGTTAATTTTTTTGTTTGTATCGCAAATGAAGTCATTTTGGATGCTATTCCTACATTTGGCATCTGTTAAACAAATTTAGATCATCACCAAATTGTTACACCGCTTGTAATATTTCCATTTTGAGGCACGTCTAAGCGGAGCAATTCCATTGGTTAAAAATTGTATAAAGCTTGCAATGAAGATCACGTACTGCTCCACCTTTAGCCTTTCCTGAAATAGCAATTTGTGGATATTTGTCAATGTTTGCATGGCACATTATCCGATGTACAGTATTTCAGGTATCACACATGTGTTCGATACAGTAACAAACGTTGCACATAAGACCTGTGGGTCGTACATTGTTCATTTGATAGATGTGTCATGATCCGCATTTTGCTATTGTCATATTCGTTCTCCTGCAAACTCCTACTTTTCAGAACAGCTCGAACCTTTTTACGGATTCCTTTTACAGATCAAATGCATCCTTACCTCCGTATCCTATGATGTCGAGTGTTTTTATATTCACATTGGCGCCAATAACAATCTTCTGTGCAGCGGTCCTGGTACTGTTTGCATAAAGTATAAATTTGGTAATATCAAAAATCATGTGCGACGAAGTATTTAGGCTAAGCCCGATTCCTGAATAAAACAAACAATTAAAATTTTTTACTACGACAATCATACAAGGATCTGTATTATGTGAAAGATCATCGACACAAGTGTAGTATTAGCATCATTTAGAATACTTTCAAACATAAATTGTTTGATCGAGCTAAAAATTCACTTACTCATAATAATATAAATTACAATATAAGTAATTTATCGCTATAATGTAAAAACTTACTAATCTTTTGTCTCAAAGTTATGTATAGGATCAATTTTCCTGGTTTTTTTCTTTTATCTCTACCATAAAGAGAGCTATGTGCAGGTCCCGTTTCCTAGATTTTTTTTGTGGAATACTCGTTACGATGTAGAGATCTGTAATTTTTTTTGTCGACGCCACTACTTTACTTACTCACAATATTATAATTAATTAACTATTTTTATGACTAATCGCTATAATGTAAACAACCTACTGATTTTTTGTTCAATCATAAAAAGTTATGTATAGAATTTGTTCCCTGATTCTTTTTTCTGCACATAGAAATATATTGACCTTTATCTCTACCTTAAAGAGAGTTACGTGCAGGTCCCGTTCTCTCAATTTTTTTGTAAATGCTCGTTAATGATGTAGAGATCTATTGTTTTTTGTCTCCGCCGTTACTTTCAAACATAAATTGTTTGATCGAGCTAAATATTTACTTATAATATTAAAAATTGCAATACAAGTGACCTATTGCTGTAATGTAAAGACTTACTAATTTTTTGTCTCAACCATAAAAAAAGTTGTGTATAGAATTCGTCCCCCTGATTTTTTTCTGTGCATAGAAACATATTAACGTTTTATTTCCACCATAAAGAGAGTTGTGTGCAGGTCCTGTTCTCTAGATTTTTTTTGTAAATACTCGTTATGAGATCTATCATTTTTTTGTCTCCGCCATTAAAGTAATTATGTATTGTTGCGGACATGTCGTTACCGAGCACGTTAATTTTTTTTTGTATTCACCGTAAAGGGAGTATGGGAGCTGAGCCCGTTTTGTAGATTGTTTCTCTGTGAATACACGACAATCCATTAAAATTTTTTGCCCACCGTAAAAAGTCATGCACAAGTCACGCCATCTTAACTTTTCTGTGCGTGTGTAATTTTTTTTATTACTACCATAAAGAGGTTATCTGTAGGTTTCACGTTGTTTGTGATTACTCACTGATTCATCAATTTTTTGTCTCTACCATAAAAAGTTATATGAACGTTTTTCTTTTTTTGATTTTTTTGTGCAGAAATCTATTATTTTGTTTGCTCTCGCCATAAGGAGAATGCGGGCTGTGTCAGATATGCGACTTTCGGGTATGTCAACTTGTCGGGTTGTGTGACCTATTGGGTTTATAAATAAGGCCCACGTCTTCCGCTAATGAAGGCCAGGTCTTCAGTTTCTTACTTATATCATACACAACTCTTCTAAACTGACACTTAGCGAAAATGAGCATTTGGGATCGAGCATTCGGAAATGATGCACGTTCAAGGCAGCTTAATCAATTGATCGACCAAATTGATGAAAAAAAGAGAAATGCTGAGAATGAGTTCTCCGGACCATACAATACTATTTACCATCATTATACGGTAATGCTAATAATACTAAGTACGAATACTTTTTTATTAATCTTTTGCTCATATATTCTTACGCTTGTTGGATCAACATAGTCGATCCTTGATTCGTACAATAACATCTTGAATGCTATGGTCCGCGCTGAGCCTAAAAAAATACAGCTAGCACAATTTGTGAAAACCACTTCTTTGAGATATTCCCCTAACTCTCCTCTTGCTACGCAAATCGTGTCCATGTCAGTACACACCTTATCAACCGGTTTCACTTTTGCGTTATTCAAATATCCGAGCGACAAGGTGATTTATAAATCTATCACACTCGGAAAGGCTGTGGCTGTAATGGCGCTTTTGGCTTTCGTTACGGGTATGTCTTTTCGAATTGCTGACAAGAGATTTGCCCAAAAAGTTTAATTTTACTAAATTATCCAATCTTGCAGATGTGATTACCGGCATTGTAGATGCAGCAACAGCGAGAGATCAGTTAAATGATCTAATTGCTAGAGCGCAGAATGGAAACGTTGAGATTGATAATTATATGGAATCGTTAAATACAAACGAAGATCAGTTGATTACAGAAATCAATGAACTTATTATCAAGGTAAACTTTATTTATACTACTTTTATTATATATGTATATATGTATATTTTTAACAATTAAAAATACTATACAGACGGACTTCTTCACCAATGTATCGCATCTGATGCCTCAAGGTTTGCTTTATCCTGATCGTCAAAAAAGTGAATTGGATAGGGAGGATGTATATGTGAAGATCCGTGCCGCGATGTTGGAGGTAAAATTTCAATATACCAATCTTAAATTTGTTAACATTGACCATTCACTCAAATTTATTCGTCTGTTTTTCAGTGCGAAAAATTGTTTATTGGTATTCGTGACTTCAAACAAGGAGTTAGGGAAATGCTTAATGATGGTTTAAGCGCTAACTTGATTGCCAAATATCTGAACAAAGACATAAACTTTATCACAACATATCTAATGTTAACGCACGTTGAAGATGGCAAAACTGATCAACAGATTATGGACCTTTTGAACCTGTCCTTACTTGATGTCCAAATTGGAAGACTTGGCACTATTGTCTTTGAACATCCCGGTACGATTTGACTTTATATTTGGTTTTGTTTTTATTTATAACCCCAAATTAAGCTTTTAACGCTTAACATCAATACATATAATGTAGAATGGAGTGTAAAGCAAATTTTGGCAAACAGTGGCTATTCTGGTAAACAGTTAGAGGATATCGCCGGAGAGCTGCAATTAAATCTCACCAATCAAATCGCAGATGCCAAAGACTTGGTCAAAAAGACTGAAACTTCCACGGCTACATTCACTACGCCAACGCAAGACTTTCCGCTTTTCCTTTGGTCGAGTAATGATTATAATGGATTTTCCGGAAGAAGTACGAAGAATGAACCTACCAAGTGGGCTGACGTAAGGGCGGTAAAAGAAGCGGGACAAAATACGTACGAGATGACTCAGTATTACAGGTCCTTCAAGCTGTTCCTTGGGCAGAAACTCTTATTTTATTCCCTTCCTAAGACTGCATCGGTTCTTGATACGCCTGCTCCTGCGGATGCCAAAACGATTTCAAATGTTACTGATGTACCCGATATCTCAGCATGGATCGTAACGCAACCGGATCTTACGTCTTATCTCAAGTTTAAATTAAATCCAGATGTTCAGTATGTTGTAAAAGTTGTTTAGTAAATTAAATTAAATTATTATTTTATTTGGTTGTTTGCTGGTATTTTAAATAAATTATATTATTATTCTTTATTGGTCTGATCTTATTCATGATATTATGGTTTGGTTAGGGAAAAATTTGCATCTTTCCATCAGCGTCAGAAGCATAATATAATGTATTGCGCAATGTACACTTAGAGTCTGCTTTTTTGACGCGAGATTTGACTTTTTTTTGGTACTCCAGATTATTTTACTAATTTGTCTTGCAACGCGTTTTGATGGTTGTCTTTGATATAGCAAATAAGAGCACGACTTGCAGTGTAATTTCCTAAGCGCGTATGTTTGACAAAGAAATATGGTCGTTAATAATGAGGGTGTGGTTGTTGACAGCAAAAGTGCGGCGGCGGCGCTCAGAGAGAATTTAGACTGAAAATTTATAAAAACTATGCAATTTAAACTATATCGTTAGCATATCCGAATTTAGTGTGGTTTTAATTATAATACGAGCTTGAGTTTGACTGATTGAATTGGTTTACATATGCTTTATTTTAAAAAAACTCTAGCATTTGTGTGCATGACACATAAGATGTTGAATGAATAATAATTTCTCTTATACATCTTCTGTGCGATTTAAGTTAATTATTAGCATCATAATTTGTTATTTACTTGTAATTTTTTGTCTAAACAAATCTATATATTGCCATAATTACGAATAAAACTAACTTACCAAATCGAAGGAGTGTCTATTCTATGTGCAATTACAATAATTTGCGCGTATCGCTTGGCTATCCCAACATTACTTTCTCAAACACTTATCGTTTTCAAAGCTTTTCGCTTAACGAATCGTCACTCAATCTGTCCTCGTTGGTTCCGATGTGTCTGTCTCTGTATTGGTAAAATTAAATTCATATGTTACTTTTTTATCATACACAATATAATATGTTCTTTTCCGGTGCAAAAAGATAGATACCTCGAAATTGATCGCTATCAAATCGTCTAATTAAAGCTGTGTGCGACTTTAATAACTATAGCTTTTTTTTTCAATTTTAGACAAGTAAATAACCATCTTTATATAGTACATCACTTAACTTGTTTAAAAATGTCTCTATTTTCGAGCCGGCAAAGTGCTGCTCCTTTAACTAAAAACGAAAAAATAATGACTTTAAACGCTCACAAATACTTTTCAGAGGAGGATTCCTCATCTAAAAAACGTCAAAAGTTTACACTACGCAGGCGTGTTGCTGAGGTTCTGGGGGTTTCAGAAAGTACAGTTGGGCGTGTTATCCATAAATGGAATAAGTGTAAAAATGGCTCTAAAGTTATTGGATTCTGGAAAAGAGCACTTAACAATGCAAAAGAATATAGAGAAAACGATGAGCATGTATATTTATCTAATGAGGAAACTGATGACGAATCCTTTTCTGAAGATAATATGAATTCAGTGAGTAAATTTTTAATAGATTTATATCAAAATGTTTTCGATAACCTAAAGAAACTATTGGTAAAATCAGATTTTAGAAAAAATTTTTTTAATAATTTTATTTGCAATAATTTGAGGTATCTATCTTTTTGCACCGGGCCATAATAATTAATTGTTTACTTTATTTGTTTATTCTGAATATTTTTTAGCCGTAATAATGTAAAATATTTTTTGTGGCGTATGACACGTTAATATATTAACCGACAATTTAAGTCAGCCGCTTTGATATTTATTCCGGTTAAATAATTAATTACATTCAACGATCATAGAAATAAATGATTATAAAATTTGATTTAAAAAAAATTATTTTATTACTTAATATAAAGAATTCTAGATAAAATTCAAATAAATATTAGTTATCAAACAAGCAAACAATTAAATCATGTTGTCTTGGTAATGCTAGTTATACATCTTTTATGGTGCAAGACACCTAAAGCCCGAAATAAAATACCAGCCTTTAAACCCTAAGGCTTTTATATTAGAGGGTTAGAGAAAAACTAATCCGTAAGAATGATAGAGCAGACGAAGTAGAATAAAAGTTACGGTTTAAAATTCTTACATGGGGGTGCTGAAAAGTTTTGCGTGTGACTTTCTAACTCGAGATTGCATCAGTTTAACTAAAATTGGGAATAATCATCAAATGCGCATGCTTTCATGTAACAAATGAAAAAAAAGTAGAGACGAATTCATTATCTCATTGTCGAGAAACCA